AAATGACAGTGGTTAAGTAATATTTAACATTGGTGCCGAAAACCCGGCATGCTACTAGATTTGATAATAATTTCGGTATAAAAGCAGAAATATAGCAGTATTTGATTTCTAATTCTTATGAGAATCTTTGATTATTTTTGCTCTAACAAATTTAAAGTTAAAATGTCAATTCCAAATCAGAATGTGGTTAATGAAACTACTCGTGCTTTGATGCTCGATAATTTAAAACGAAAGCGTTCAACTATTAGGGGTTTATTAACGAGAACGCTTAATAAGATTAACGAGCAATTATTGTTAGATATAATTGACAAAGAGGCACTAAATGAGCTTCTTCAATTGTTATGTGAGAAATCGGAACAAATTTATGANTACAAATCGAAAGTTATATCGATGATTTAGATCAGTTAGAGGCAGAAGTAATTTCGAGCCAAGAAATAAGAGAAAAAATTATATCTTCTAAAACAAAAATTAATGCATGTTTAAAATCAGAGTCAGCTATAACGATAAATAATGTACCCTCGGTATCAGAAGCTGTAGCGATAAATAATGTATCAAATGTACGAAACGAAGCGAGTGTCCGATTGCCAAAATTAACGTTGGAACCATTTGATGGTAAATATGAAAATTGGCAGGAGTTCTGGGGACAATTTGAGGGATCCATTCATGAAAATAGTAATTTATCTAGAACGGATAAATTTAGTTATTTGAAATCATTTTTGAAAGGGTCTGCTTTAGTTTCGATTCAGGGTTTAGCGCTATCAGAAACGAATTATGATACTGCTATAGATCTCCTAAAAAAAAGATATGGTCAGAAAGATATTATTGTTAGATCTCATGTAAATAAATTATTAAATATGCATCCTGTTAAATCATGTACCCAGTTAAAAGAATTGCGTCAATTGTGTGATATTTGTTATGTTCAGGTTCGTTCCCTCGAATCGGCTGGAGTAGAATTAAATAGTTATGGGAGTCTTTTGTTTTCTATTTTATTGAAATTAATGCCTGATAGTATAGTTTTAGATTATAATAGGCAAAATAAAAATGACATATGGGACTGCTTTAAACTTTTGCAGTTTTTAAGAGATGAGATTGAAAATAGAGAAAAAACCCAGCTATTTCGAAGCTCGAACGAAGAAAAAAGTGAATTAATTAAGAAGTACGGCGTCAATAAAGATCATAATTCATGGCGCGCCTTTTCGAAACCGAAAACAAATCCTGCTGCATTGGCATTAAGCATGGGAGAAGAAGGGGGAAAGGAAATTAGATGCGTGTTTTGCGATTTTCAAAGTGATTCTTCGCGAATTAGACATAACAGTGACCAATGCATTAAATCTGTCAAGGAAAAAAGAAATGTCCTGAAACAGAAAAGGAAATGTTTTTTATGCTTTAAAAATAATCACACTGTTTATAATTGTTATTCAAAAATTCGATGCGATATATGTAAAGGAAGGCATAATAGTTTATTA